TGTATATATGTATTCCTACTAAGAAGAAGTTTCTAATACTAATTTAACATCATCTTTTTTAACGCATGCCATTTTTACCGGGGCCATTTTTTCCGGGGCCATTTTTTCTGGGGCCATTCTGACCTACATTCCTACAATGTATAACAAAGAAGTAATAAATGCTAGAATGTTACCCTGATTCTTACAAGTGTAGTCGTCCCTGGCGCCCTCAGAAACACCCTGTGGGACGAGTATACGCTTTGCTGGCAACCAAAATGTAAAAAAATACCAATAATGTGCTGTATATATTTTAACTGACTTTCTATTCTATTGTACTTTCAATGTTGTATTTATCATATCTATTTTCTGTTTTACAGTTTCAACTCTCGTTGTTAGTGAATTTGAAGAGATTAGCGAGAACTATGAGAGAGAAACTGTTCTTCGTAAGAAAGCCGAGTGCTTTGCAGCAAAGGTAATTATTCAAAAATTGATGTGGATTCATTTATTAATTAATTATCCTAAATTACCTGCACTGAAAGTATTGATTTACATAGTGTAATTGTCCTTTTAAAGGATTGCAAAAAGTATCAATTATGTTTTCTCCTGGATTTATTTAATACAATCACTTTTCATTATTTCCATTCACAAATTCAAATTTGTGTATTTTTCTACATTTTATGTTGAAAAAATAGCACAATTTTTACAAGGCCTTTGCTGAAATTTATTATTTCACCAAACTTAACAAACTGTAGAATACTATTTCTTGAATTAGCTGTGTGAAAAGAATTATTCCTTCTCTTTCAAGTATGCAGTACTTATTTGGATAAAATGGCATAATGCATTAAAAAAAACATACCACTAACACAGTTTTCCAATTTAAAGATAAAAGTAGGCACACATGGAGGAGACAATAAAAAATGGATTCGTGGAAACAATAATTTGTTTGACTAATTAGCATTTTCTTTGAGTTTTGCTTCCTTTTCAAAAATTACCATGAGAAGCTTCCGCAATAATTTGCCAAATAAATTATATTTTGCAAGAAGTCGTCTTGTAGTTTCCACTATGTTTCAAAATTTTGCCAATTAATGTAAAAACTTTTGTTTTTTTTGTGATACGTCATTAATTTCAATGCCAATTTTTTTATCAGCCATGATTGGATGCCAAGTTTATTGTTTTGTAACTGATGCTGAATATCATAATTTATAGTAATAATTATAATATTGTTAAAGGATATAATACAAATAGCTTGGTACAAATCAGGGGAGGATTTGGGGTGGGGGCAGGCCAGCCCAATCCCCTCCCCCTGTTTGGAAAGAAAAGAAGAAAGAAAAAAATAAGGATTTCCCACAGTGCCTGAGAGGTCATTTTCGGGCGTACTCCTAGGGTAGTGTTATCTCGATTGCCCTCCCCCCTTTCAACCCCCCTTTTGAACATCTCTGGATCTGTCCCTACAAATTGATTGATTAATTGATTGGTTGATTGATTGCCAATGGTAATATACATGCACTAAGTACATTTGCATTGCAAGATTGCTTAATTGATTATTGTAATGATGATCATGTTTTTTCAAGTGTTTTATTTTTCAGTATGATCGAAGTTATAAATGTGTGAAATAATAAAGAAATAAATTAGAATAATAGTATTTTAATACTGTAAAAATTTATAATCATAATAAAATAAAAATGAAATTATAATAATAATGATGATTTTGCTCATTTACTTCACAGATGTACCAGGAAAATAAAGTCGTCTCTGAAGTTGCCAAGCGACAAAGTCAAATCCTGATGGATCCTACGCAACTGACTTCGGATGACAAGTTACTGGAGGCGATGAAAGAACTAGAAGAATTGAATGCCATGTTGGGAGATAAGAATGAAAAACAAGATAAGGTGAAGTCTATAAAACTGAGAAAATACATTATGCGTAAATTAACTTTTTACTCTGATAATAATTAAATGTTCTACTTCTCTTCAATGCTTTTAGAAGGCTTATTTAAGTCAGGCCCTGCAGGTGGCTTTCCAGGCAGCTATTTTAGCTCATATCTTAAGTGGTCAGAGGGCCTTCTCATAATAATGTAATGTAATGTAATATATATAATATACAGTATCTCTGACTTTCTACTTGTACGTAAAAAGCTAATTCGTACCAGATCAGCTTCAAATGTAAATTTTCATCAACCTATATTTAACAAGCATATTGGTAACAATTTTTTTCTGTTCAAGGTGCCACTCATTTGGAATAACCTTCCAGCGCACATTCGATCTTCACCATCTGTGGCTGTCTTTAGGTCTAACTTAAAGACTCACCTCTTTAACTAATTATCCTCATTTTTATTCTTATTTTATTTATTGTTGCATGATTCCAAACTTTGCCACTGCTTCTTTTGATTTGTTTACTTGTTCTGTGCTTGGGTTAGGCAATGATCACTGCTGCCTGTGGGTTGTGAGGTGCCTCAAGTATGTGGGGTGCAGCGCTTCGTATCTGCATAGAAAGGCGCTATACAAATGTTGTTGTTGTTGTTGTTGTTGTTGTCGTTGTTGCTGTTGCTGGATTAGATTGAAATGTAGTTAGATTTATATAGCGCTTTATACTGAAACTTTCTCAAAGCGCTCTAGGTGCGGACTAGCTCTTACAGTAATTTGCTTCTCACCTAAGGGTCTCTTTGTGTCTGACCTACAGTACCTGGTAAACCGGTACCAGCTACTCTCATTTGTCCACTACAGGGCCTGAATGTACAAGTACATTGGGGTAACCCCCTACTTGTCTCGAAAGATGTACAGGGTTCTTTTTTTATTTATTTATTTTATTTCAACAATGATACCACCCTCTGCACTTTATTAGTGCAGAGGGTGGTCCATCCAGCTGAACTGATCATTAGGGACCCTCAATACATAACACAAGTAACAAAGGAAATATAAATAGATTAACAAAGAAATTAAAATGATAAAATAATAATATAAAACCAAATAACAAATAAAAAAACAAAGGGAAAAAAAATTATTACAATATATATATACATATTATATAAATTAAATTTAAAATATAATCAAATTAACTATAAAATAATTAAAAGCAGAATAATAATGGCAAAAAAAGAAAAGCAAAAAATAACGAAGTTGAAAATAAAATTTTAAAAAAAAATAGTTTAGGGCCAGCCTGAAGAAAAAGAGAGAGACAGAGGGGTGGGGGAGAGAGAGAGACAGAGGGAAAAAATAACTAAACCATAGAAAGAGAGAGATAGCTTTTCAGGTTAGATTTAAAGGATGAGATGCTTTTAAGTATCTGATAGTACAAACATAATACAAACATTTAGATTTTCGTATAGTAATGACACGATTATGGTTATGATTATATCATTGTCCTAATCTTATCATTACTATACGGTATGATTATGACTATGATTAATTTGAATTTGAGTGCCTTCATTTCAGGTCTGCTTGATTGATACGATTCAGTATGTTTACTCTTTTGATTCATCACTTTTAATAATGTTCTCTGTATATAAGTTCACATCTATTGCAATGTGGTTTAATTATGGCTGTGAAAAGACCCATTTGAACATAATTTTTATTTTAAAATACTGTATGTTTCATGTGAATTTTTTATTACTGTTGCATAAAAACTCTTTTACATCCAGGTGACACTATATTAACCATTAATAATAATAAATTTTGTTCCTTTCATATTGTTTTTCTGATTGCATTACTGGTTTTGAATCAAAGAAAGTTGATATTGATGACAAAGTATCCACACATGTTGAAAGTGTTGTGCCACCAGCTTCTGCTGATTTGCCACCTGTTTCTGATGATGAGCCACCTCTTAATAGTGAGCGACCCTCTCATGTAGATGAGTGCCCACCTGATGCTGATCAGCATCCACCTAGTGTAGATCCATGTCCACCAGATTTGGCTGATCTATCTAGTGGGATGTCTGCAGATCAGACTACACCAGAGGTGGTAAGTGTCAGTGCAGAGGTTACACCTGCCAGTTATGATACAAATGCAAACGATGAACACGGAGTAGTTACTGGTAAGACACCAGTATTATTCAAAGATAACCATGAACAAAAACCTGTTGAATTTTCTGGACAATCTGAAGAAATTAATTACTCCTCTGTAACTTCTGGAGAATCAAAACCAATATTTGTACCATCAGAAGACTCAAAACCATCATTTGTACCATCAGAAGAACCCAAACCAGCATCTGTACCATCGGAAGAACCCAAACCAGCATCTGTACCATCAGAAGAACCCAAATCAGCATCTGTACCATCAGAAGAACCCAAATCAGCATCTGTACCATCTGGAGAACCTGGTGTGACATCTGCTGCTTCTGAAGATTCTTTTCTAATTCCAATACCATCTAGCAAATCTGATGTAACCTTGTCAGATGATATCATTCCACCACCTCCAGAAGTTTTACAGGTTTTAGTTAATGATTCTAGTGCAGAATCTGGCCAAGGAATTCCTGCCCATGTCTCAGAGGTAATTCTGAGTTTTTATCTGATTGAAAAGCAGAATTTGTTTCTTTATTTTTTACAACTGACAGAAAAAAATGAAGATGCAAAAGGACAAAACCACAGACTCGCTTTCCTGAATTTCAGACGATATGAATTTAATGAAACTTAATACAGTATTGTTACTGTTGTTACTATTGTTATCATTATTGTTATTATCAGCATCTTCATCATCATTATTGTCATCATAATTATTATATTGGTATCAGACTAAAATCCAATAAATTCAACAGAATTTTTGAAAGAATAAAAAAACTGATATGCTGTACAATCCGTCTTAAGAAATTATCTATTGGCAATTAATGAAAGCAAAATGCAAAGCCACCACACATTTACTGAACATTAAATTTCATACTATAAATCACTACAATTATTGTAAAATAATTTTTGTGGCGTTGCAATTGATTTTTGACAGAAAGAAAGTGATATACTTCCAGATGCATTGATAAAGGTACTTGTATGCAGTCATTCCATATGGTATTGGCAATTATACAAAGCTGTTCAATAATCAATATTAATTAGTATGTACTATAGTTCTCGGGTATAAGCCCATCAGGGGATAAAAGCATATCTGTTTCCCCCTCCCCCAATTTTTGAGTAATTTTTGTGAAAAAGCGCTCCACCTAGTTATAATAAGGAGGTTTGGAATTGAAATTCTTCACTTTATTTGACAGATAACAATTCTGAAAGTATAAAACGTACCAAGTATGTTTTTAAGGGATTAACTCCATTAAAATTTAGCATTAAATTTATTTTTTTATTTATTACTTTATGTAAGTACGCTAGGCTTCTTAGTCTATTTTGTGAGGCCTAGACTCTAAAGTTGAGTCCCATCTAGCCCTACATTGCATTTTATGGTTCATATTGTCTTTTGTATTGGGAGGAGGGGGAAAGAGATGACTTATACTCAAGGAACTACTGTACAATATATGCTTGCTGCATAAGAGTAGATTAAGTTCAGCTACCTGTCATGCAACAAAGCCATTGCACCTTGATAGAATAAAGCATTACTTGCCCTCACTTCCATTTTTAAAAATTTAAAATATCATTAAAGTATTATTTTCAACATTTATAAGTAAAAATAAAATAAAATAACCTCATTTTATGTGCTTAAAACTGGGGATAAGCTCCAATATATATATATATATATATATATATATATATATACTACTTCCATTTATGTATAAGTTTAATAATAATGTTTTAAAATCATTATGTGTGGTAATTGGATTGTTAATTGTGTTTTTTCCATTGCTACTATACGTAAGTTTAATATGGTGTTGATTGATTTTTCATTTTGATTTGAGGCTGTGGATTGAGGTCTTGCCTTTTTATCCCAGAAATATATTATTTATACTTTTTTTATGTGGGTATTTTTTACTTTAATTGTTTAACTGATTTTTTTGCAGTTTTTTTACTTTAACAACAGCAAATATTTTATGATGATTGTAATACCTTTTCAACATTTGCTTTTAATTTTGCTAACATCATTAATAAATAGAAGTAATAAAATTACAAATAATTGTTGGTAACTTTTGTCACATAACCACAAACAGAATAGCACAAATTATTGAAATCATGCTCCTAAGAAATTATATGCATTAAAAAAATATATAAAAAAGGATAAGTAATATTGTATGATTATGTTGGTGTGCCAAGAATGTTGAACTAATTTACATATTATGTTATACAGGTGCTTGAATATTCCAGGTGTAATAACAGAGAGTATTATCTTACTTTGGCTACGTTCGGACTTGGAAATAAGCCAGGCTTGAGTTGAGCCAGGCTCAACATTAAACCCGGCTTAACTTTGCCGGGCGTTCAGACTAGCGAGTTTAACCAGGCGTGAATTTGCATAATAATGAACCGTAACAAGGAAACGTGTTTCAAAACATTGTTTGCGAAACGTACGCTCGCTCACAGCGTACGTAATTGAATGCTGATTGGTCATTTTGTTACCCGGAAGTCAATGCAAGACACCCCGCAACGATTAAAGCCTGGCTTAGAAAAGTTTGACACGGTGGCGCGCCAGGCCTAGTTACTATAGGAACACAGCCTGGCTTGAGATAAGCCACCTAGTTCAGACTGGCAGGTGGATAAACCCAGTGAGTTGAGTCGGGTTTATCCACCTAGTCTGAACTAGGCCTAAGTCTTCTATGTGTGTTCTCTCTATGTTGGAAGTGGCTTATTACTTTTGATTTTTCTGAGTGTTTTTCTTAAAAGTCTTTTGAATTGAGTAGTGAACCACAATTACAACTAAAGAGGCCAGCATAATGGAAAGAAGCTACACACATAGATATCAGGATGTTTGTATTTTTATTAAGCATATCTGGATGATTGCCAGGCTCAAATAAATTTCCTTACGAATTTTGAAACTGCGACGTAAATTCAGCTAAAATAATTTTGACTTTTGCAGTGGTAAAAAGAAATATTACATTATTAATTATTATTATTATTATTATTATTATTATTATTATTATTATTATTATTATTATTGTTATTATTATTATTATTATTATTATTATTTGTTAAAGGTGAGAGATGAGTTAAACAGTAATGAAGATAATGGTCAGCCTAAGAAAGAGTATGTCCACACACTTGAAACAAAACTGAGCATCGCCCAGGAGGAGAATGAAAACCTTGAACAACAGATCAACGAGCTTCAGGATGAATTAAAAAAAGTAAAGGAGCAATTGGAGGTTGCTTCTGAGAAACTACGTCCTCCACCACCACCCCCTCCACCACCACTTCCTGCCCCTGTGAAGAATCCTTTAAAGTGAGTGGATTGTTTTAATTTTTTTTTTAGTAGATTTTAGAAATTTTATTTGCAAAGCATTCTTTTCTCTCCCCATCTTTTCTCTCCCCATCTCTTCTCCTCCTTCTCCACATTCTACTTATTGGCTACCACCCCACTTCCTGCCCCATGAAGAATCCTTTAACGTCAGTGGATTGTCTGGCTTTGTTATAGTGGATAAAATTTGGAAATTTTAATTTGTAAAGCATTCTCTTCTCTCGACCATCTCTCCTTCCCAAATCTCAAATATTAATTATAATTTTTTTAAAAGCTGATGCCAAATTAAAAATAGTTCTTTTTACTAAAACTTTTTGTTACTAAGGACATAATGTTTTATTTATGTACTATTATTTTCCAGTCTTTTTAGAAAACTTATCAAAGGTAAAAATACAGATGATAAGCAAGGTAAAGCAGGTAAGCCTTGACCATTTTTCCAAATTTTTATTAAATTTTATTTATTATTCTTATATTTCAAATTAGTTTTATGTTGATTTCTTTGAATTCCTATATTTTATTATTATTAATTATGATTATGAAAATGTAAATTTTTCTTTTTGTCAATACTAATTCTTTAAGCAAATCAAGGCAAGGGCAAAAAGGGTAAGTTGGTAGGGTGTCACTCTCAATCGTCATCAGTATCTATGACAAGTGTCATTTTCATTTTTGTCGCTGTCATTTTCCTGGCATTATATTAATTAATCCAACTTAAATTGGTTTTTCTAGTATGCCCATATTTTACACTGACTAAAGTTGTTAGTGTATCATATCTAGGGTGCCTGGAAGCTGTGGATATTCATTAGATATGGTATACTAAATAACATAGGTCTTGTGAAGCATAGGCTAATTATAAGAATCTTATTAAAGCTATTCTCTACTTCATGCATGTTATAGTTGCTCAATTCAGCCTAGATCCAGAAATCTTGAGTCATGACGACTGCAGCTTAAGCCTGGTTTCCATACAATCGCTACACTCTATCGCCAACAGCTCTCGGTGATGCTGATTGGTCGGTCAAATCAGGGAGCCTTCCCGATTGCGTCATGGACTGCTACATAGTACAACGCTTGCACTGAAAACAGTGTAGCGATTTTAAGTAAACCAGGTTTTATATTATTTTATATTATATACTCAAATAACTGCCCTTATACATTGAAATTAGTTAAAAACAAACTAGCTTTTTATGATGAAATCTGGCAAAAATGGCCGAAGATTTGATTAAGTATAGTAAACATGAATGTACAATTCCCGATTGCATCGGGGACTGCTACACGCTACAATGATTGTACCACAAAACATTGTGGCAACAGTCTAGCGATTTTTAGGAAACTAGGCTTTATATTAGTAGACTCACATAATTACCCTTACACATACAAATTCGTAAAACTAGCTTTTTATGATGAAGTCTGGCAAAAATGGCTGAAGCTTTGGATTAAGCATAGTAAATATGAATGTAAAATTTTATTATCTGTCATCTCAATTACCTGTTTTTTGGTTTTTTTTAACATTCATTATAAATTCCATTTACAAACGATAAAGTACAAGACATACAGGTAAATATAAAGATAAACAAAGCAAACATGTAATGTAACCCTATGATTAAACACAATGTTATAAAATATTTAAAAGAGTAGAAGTTAATTATACAAACAACTCAAGGTGACCAATAATTTTAACATACAATAGATATATTTATTTGTCAACGTGTACAACTTGGTTCACATGAAATTTGGTTTCCAGATACTTCAACAATAAAAATAAAATCATAAACTAAAATACATAAAAAGATGCAAAAATCCCGTAAATACAATAAAGAAACATATTACAATACAGAACTTAAACTAAGCTTACAAAAACTACAAACATATTCAAAAGACACAAATGACAATGCATATATTTGGATAAATATAGGACAAAAGATACATATTGGAATTCAATGGTTGATCAAAGGTGTGGCTTGCCGGCATTAAAAGTCCATTACATTGCCATCATCAATCTGGTTAGGAATTTTTTCTTAAAGAAATGTTATTTCATTTCTATTTTAACCATGAGCGGATTTGGTGAGGGGGGAAACAAGCCGACCCCACCCCCCCCCCCCTTGGGAAATCACAAAAATGAAAAAGAAAAAATTGATCACCTAAAATGCCTCAGAGATTATTTTCGCGCGTCTAGAGAAAAAAATTTTACATGGGCATGCCCCCGGACCCCTATGGTGGTGTTATCTCATTGGCCCCACTTTCATCCCTCTTTTACCCCTCCCCTTTTTGGACATCTCTGGATCCGCCCCTGTTAACTTTATACTCTGTGAGCTATAATGTATGCAAGATCTCATTATTATCTGTTACATATTAACACCTTTGTTTTCATAGAATCTGTATGCTGAATGGCTGCAGATAATTCCTGGTGTTAGTTCGTAACACTGACAATGGCTAATAAAATAATAATAATGTATAAAGACCTGTCCAGGCATATTTTATTTTACAAATACATGTGACATACCTAAATATGGTCATGATGACACATCATCATCACCATGACTATATATGGGCATACAACAGTTTTTGTCAAAGAAAATTTGATAATCTTGACTGAGTTTTATATATATACAGTATGGTGATGTATATTATTTCTATGACCTCTTGCTGCCTATATTATAACCGTAGTTAAGGATAGTGTGGTAGTGTTCTAGCGTAGAAGATTAGATTTCTGGTTAATAATATTCACTGATGGATTTAAGTTTATTACCGATACTATTAGATTAGTTCTAACCTGTGGAATGGATTTTAATAGTAAAATTCTGAAGATAAAAATTCAGTGGCAGAATTTCCAATGTACACCTGCCAACACACACATGGAGTATCCACTTTTTACACCTCATGAATACATTGTATTATCTCACACATCGTTAAAATGTTTATGAAAGATAAAATAGGTGAATAAGTGTATTCGTCATTAAAAATTAGAATACAGGCCATTTAAATTTCGAAGTTATACCAACCGAGAACTGTAATCCATAGCAATTCCACTACAATTTACAAAAAAATAACATAGGGGGTGCTCTGCTTTGTTATTATTACATAGAGGGCGCTATATACATTTGTTTTTTTGTCACACACATCAAACACCAACAAAGTTGGCAGGTTTACAAAGGGTTAATCACCCAAAGAAAATCTGAACAAACAGACTTCCTAAATTGTTCTGTTGTAGAATTTTTTTTATTTGATTTATAAAGGAAATTTACAGAATAATTACAGAAATTTAATTGACATTTTATCAGGAAATTGTTGAGATTGGCATTCTGTTACAACAGTCATTCTCTTCCCACAAATCTAGTTGTCTGGCCATTTATCTTCTCATAGAACATATATATCCTCTCTTGGAACATATTTGTCCATGGGTTAACCTTCCTGGTTTTTCTTACTGTAACATTCTTTTTAGGTTTTGATATTTATCTTCTTTTGTGTTTAATGAGACTGAATTTAGGGAAGAGGAATGATGTGGGAATGAGATAGGGTAAAGGAAAAGGGAGAAGAAGGAAGAATGTAGAAAGAAAAGGGAGAAAGGAAAGAGAAAGAGAAAGGTAGAATTGAACTGTCTGGAGACTCTGCGTCAAAATACAAGTGTTATTGCTGTGGATCCATATTGAATTTACGTGCGAAATTTACAAGCTCTTCAGCTGCTTTCTAGGAAGTATTGTACTGTAGTACATAATGCTGATGTCTGAGTGTGCTTATATACTGTATGTGCTTATGCTGTCATAATTTATTAGTCATTTTTGTCTCTCGTCCAAAAAAAACTACCATCATCATAATCACCAATATTACCAATATCATGATCATCATCACTCTCACTATATCAGCATAAGTCATCCTCTTCACCGATGCCATCAACATCATCATTATATTATTGTAATTATTGTTTAAAGGTTTGCTTGGCAGATAAACAAATATGAAGTATACATTTGTGGTACACCATATAAGTAGTACTCAGAAGAAATGATGTGTAAAAAATACTCTCAACTACTATTTACGTAGTATACCGCAAATTTATACTAGTATTGTACTTGTTGTCATTGTCAACATTCTATTGTAATTTTTTTAATATAATTTTTAATATTAATTATGTTCTTATTATATTTGTGATTTATTATATGAACTCCAGATCCCTTGCAAGAAAAGTACACAGCAACAATTGATGAAATGATGAAGAGAATCAAGTCAGGTAAAGCTGGACTTAAACCTGTTGGCGAGGATGTAAGTATTTACGGAATGATAGTGTCTATTGTATGATGTATGTAAATACATATACTGTATATGTATATTAGGCGAAACTTTTTTTATATTTTGTTTTGCGAACTTATTTTTTTTTTTTTATCATTAGAGGAGGGCGGAAAAAAAATAAAAATAAAATTTTGTCTTATTCAGGAAATGGTTTGCCAAAAACATGCAGATGGAGGAGAAAATAAAATAAAATATTATTATTGAATACAAACAGTGTAGTAATGTGATGGTTAAATGCTTTAAATTTATATAATTAGGAAGAAATATACATACCTTATTTTTGGGAAATTCTCTGGCAGCGGTAGGCATAATAAAAATAAAGAAAACTTTCATATTTTCCTGAAATTTCCATTTTTTCGTGACAGCAGGTGCGCTAATTGGCCAAAAATAAAATATTTTTATTTGAAATTGTCATTATTGGCAGGTAGCAAGTTTGCTAAACAATGTATAAAGAAAAGTCTTGCCATATGGATATCCTTATGGATATA